CCAAATCCATATTGTGGGTCAACAGGACCCAGGGGAAATGACTCCTTCCAAACAGTCTGTGTCCCCAGGGTACAGCTGGTACCAGGCCAGTAAGGCTGGACTCCTGCAATGCTGGATTAATTCAGCAGCTAAACATGTACAGATGAGGGAATACAATGTATTGCACAATATATAGGAACTAGGCTTCCCGTGTATTGTGGGATATAGATGAGGAATTTAAGGCTGATTCAGAAAGCTGCACTAAGAAACCAGCTGTTGCTGTGTCTGATGGACAACAACAAAGAGCAAAATGCTTCGTAATTCGCAAATTAAAAATGGAAATATAAGGGGGAGCTTAAGGAAAGTCAGCATGCTTGATGGAAGTAGCACAGAAAGGGAGCTGGAACAAGGATCCTGATTGCATTCAGGAGCAGAGGGCACCGATCCTGCAGGTTAAGCACATTAAATCCTGTAAATGACCTTGCCCACAGCTTGGGACTCAGCACCTGTTCTCACCCCACTCCCACGGATCCCAGGCTTTGCAAGAGGGATGGAAATCTGTGTCCTCTGCCATGAAAATCCCACCTGAGGACTCCAGGAAGTGCTCACCTGGCGACTCAGGTACCTGCAGCTGAGCCTGGCTTAGGTCCTGATCCACTGCCAGCCACAGAGAGGCAGAAATTCTCAGTGTTGTGGTTTTCCAGAGTGCAAGAGCTTAACCCAGAGTCACAGCCACGTCACCTGGCAGAGACAGCACAGCACAGCTGAGGTTTGGGGAAGGAGGAGTCGCAAGAATGCCCTGCTTGGCCTGGGGAGGCCGGGAATGGCCAGGGAAGGGCCAAGGAAGAGGCAGGGAATGGCCAGGGAATGGCCAGAAAAGAGGCAGGGAATGGCTAGGGAATGGCCAGGGAATGGCCAGGGAATTGCCAGGGAATGGCCAGGAAAGAGGCAAGGAATGGCTAGGGAAGGGCCAGGGAATGGCCAGGAGAGAGGCAGGGAATGGCTAGGGAATGGCCAGAAAATGGCCAGGGAATTGCCAGGGAATGGCCAGGAAATGGCTAGGGAATGGCCAGGGAATGGCCAGGGAATTGCCAGGGAATGGCCAGGAGAGAGGCAGGGAATGGCCAGGGAAGGGCCAGGGAAGGGCCAGGGAAGGGGCAGGAAAGAGGTAAGGAATGGCCAGGGAATGGCCAGGAAAGAGGCAAGGAATGGCCAGGGAATGGCCAGGGAAGGGGCAGGGAATGGCCAGGGAATGGCCAAGGAATTGCCAGGAGAGAGGCAGGGAATGGCCAGGGAAGAAGCAGGGAGCACAGCAGGAGAAGCCGTTCCATTCAATGTCTTATACTGCCACCACCTGAGGACTTCCCACTCACTCCAGGCTCCTCCAGGATCCCTGCTGCCCCGGTCCCTCCCTGCACGGCAGAACTGGGGCTGGGCCATAGAGGGGCACGGGCAGCAGGAGATGAGCCCAGGGCCAGCTCGGGGAGGTTGAACCCGAGCTGAGAGTCACAGCCCGTCCTGACAGGGCACAGAAGGGACAGATGTCCCTGTGCCCACTGCTGGCTCCGAGTGGCTCAGGGTAATTGCTGATAAAAGCCCGGCAGGGCTCCCCCCACTCCCAGGCCTGAGGCCCCTCGGGCCAGGGCTGCTGGGGGACACAGTTCAGCTTTTCCTGGGAGCAGGGTTCCAGCAGCCTGTGGCAGGCTGTGGACACCTGAGCCCCCCACAAGGAGAAGCACACGGGGGGAGCTGCAGGCCGGGGGCCCAGGCCCTGCCTCTGCTCCCCAGCAGTGCCCGGCCTGCCTCAGCCCCCCGTGCGGCCCGGGCCCGGCTCTGCTCCCACAAACGCTCCCAGGCTGGGCTGAGCTGCACCCTGGCTGGGAATGAACGTTCTGAGTGTGCTGCACGAGTACCCCAGCAGCTGAGCCCTGAGGAGGGGTCTGCCCAGCTGAGACAAGCCCCCCACCCCTCACAGGGCAGCAGCGAGGTCAGACGCCCGTCCCCGCCGAGGGGGTGTCCAGCCTGTCCCTGTCCCTGTCCCTGTCCCTGTCCCAGCAGCCTCGCTGGGTTCATGGAACCACTGACTGGGATGGGCTGGAGGGGACCCCAAATCCCACCCATTCCCCCCCTGCCATGGCAGGGACACCTTCCCCTGTCCCAGGTGCTCCCAGCCCCAGTGTCCAGCCTGGCCTTGGGCACTGCCAGGGATCCAGGGGCAGCCACAGCTGCTCTGGGCACCCTGTGCCAGGGCTGCCCACCCTCACAGGGATGGATTTTTTCCCAAAATCCAACCCAAATCCCAACCCAAATCAACCCTCCTCCAGTTAAAACTATAACTCCTGGCACTGCTTTGGACAGAAACTGCTCTGAAGTTCCTGGGTTTGCCCCCAGCTGTGACACTTCCCATCCCACAGCCACTGTTCTGATTACCAATGTCACCTTAATTTCTCTTTCAAAACACAAGTCTCTCTTGCTTGGGGATATTTCAAGATTGCCTTCAATAAATATGAATGCAAATTTATTCCTTCATGATTTGTCATTCACTGCATTACCACTGCCATGGAGCAAGAGAGACCTTCATCTCCAAACTCCTTGATAGGGATTTCTCCAAAGACAGATTCTTGATCTCCCGGTACACCTTTTTGGCTTTTATAAAATAAATGCATCAAAGAAGATATTATTCGGGCTTGTTTGATGTTCAGTGAGAAGTCATCCCCATCATGGGATGATACGAGCTACCAACCTGCCTCCTCAGTCAAAAAGAGGAATTCAACCCTCCTTCCTGGCAACCCTTTAAAAATGGATTTTCAGAGCAGCAAAGGCCAGCAGGACCCTTTGCAGCACGCAGGGACTTCACCACAGGGGCTCCCTGCTCGCAGCTGGCAGAGACTCCTTCCTTCCCTTGACTCCCTGCTCCTGTCCAAGGCACCTGCCAAGCCCTGCCCTGCCAGGGAGGGACGTGCCACTGCAGCCACCCCTGGCATCGCTCTCCTCTCCAGCCAAGCCCCTCTGACACTGAACACAGCCCCAAAACAGCCCAGGGCAGGGGCCAGCCTTGCCTGCCCTTACCTACAGCACTGCTTCTCCGGTTTGCCCAAGCTGAAGGAAATGTCAGGATTTTTGTTATCTGATCCAGCTGAAGCTGTGTGCTGAGATCCAGGATAACGCTGACATTCAGGATGCCACGAGATGTCACTTCTGCTCGTGTTCAACAGGCTTTCTGAAGATAATCTGCTGTTTCTAAGGGGCTGAGGAGGGTTTGCCTTTTGGCTGGAGACAAGGCAGGAGGGAACCCCTGAAGAAAGGCACACTTCTGCACTAAAGCCCTCATGAATATTAATGGGGCCAACACAAAAGGAGCTGCAGCATTAATATGAGCAGCATGATAAAACAGACTTGAGCTTGTGACATGTTCAATCTCTCATTTAATTTTTATAGGAGTTGATTAAGATGCCTTTGCTTGAATTTTTATACTGTTTACTATAAAACATTATCATTTTCTTCAAAATCTATCGAGACAGACAAACCACACATTTGCCAAGCTGTTAAATAAATAGTATTAAATCAACAATACCCAGGGTCCCCAAATGCGAGTCATTTCCATGTATATTGATTTTTGTTCCATTTGCTGCAATAAAAGTTTTGTCTCTAAGCAGAAGGCAAAAAAAGCCAACTATTTTATCGGATTGTTCTGGTTTTAATTCTTGAAATAAAGTTGCTTTGCAGTCCCTGTGTGGGGCAAACTGGCCCTAAGTGCTCTGAGAGAGCTGGGGGATTCAGAGCTGGACAGCACCCAGCCCCAGAGACAGCAGGGCAGGCCAGGAAGGCAAAAAGGAGCAAATCCCCCAAGAAACAGGCTGGGAGAGCTGGGGGTGCTCACCTGGAGAGGAGAAGGTGTGGGGAGCCCTCCCAGAACCTTCCAGGGGATCACAGGGACCTTCACAGGAACTGATGGGACGAGGAGCAAAGGGCACAGAGGGAAAGGGGGGAGATTTAGCTGGATACAGGGATCTCCAGTGTTTGCCACACTCAGTGACATCCCAAACTCCACATTTTAGCAGTCTAATTCTGGCACAGCAGATCTGCAGCACATTTTACAAGAGGCACAGAGTGTAACTCAGCACAGGAAGCAGCACCAAAGCTGTGAAAGAGGAAGGAAAGCACAAACTCTGAGAGGATAAACTGGGAATTAGCTCCCAGGGCCAAGGAGTGGGCAAGTGGCAGCAGGGGCGAGCTCGCCCTTCCCAGCAGGAAGCACAGCAGCTGCTCTGCACCAGAGCAGTTATTTTGTATAATTTTTCCTAACAAAATAATTCCATCAAAATACAGATTCAACATAAATCAGATAAATCAGCACAAAGTAAGATTACACAGAAAGCACAGAGTCTGTTCTAAATACAAAGAAATTACAAAAAAAAAAAATTACTCGGCTGTATAAAAGGTATTTTTATACCTCCAAAAGCCAAGTTTTCAAAACACATTTTTGTCTGGGAAAGAAGTGCAATCCCCACTTCTTTCAGATTTATACCTGACAGAGAACAAACCCCCCACTCCCAGAGCTGGGCTTGCCACAGAGCTTCTCTTTAAATGGGTTAAAGCCCTGGGGTGCTCTCAGACACTCGTGTGTGACTGTGACGCATGAAAGCTGCTGAACACGGAATGGGAAGAGAGTTTTAGAGCAACAAAGTTCACCTTGTTAAAAATGCACTCCCTGCAGAGGCTTCCACATCCCCCATCCATCACCATGTCAGGCCCTGGCAGTCTGGGACTGCTCAGTCAGGAGCAGGGGGAACGGGGGGGAACAGGAGCCCAGACTGCTCCTCAGAGCAAAACCAACTCCAACAGCCTCAGCAGCCAGCGAGGCTCTGGGAACAGCCCCAGGAAAGGGCTCCCACAGAATTCTCCAAAGCATGGCTTTGTGTCTGTGTCCACAGCCACGTCACCCACGTCCACATTATCCACATCACCCACATCCACACCACAGCCACATCATCTACACCCACATTATCCACATCACCCACATCCACATTATCCACATCATCCACATCCACACCACAGCCACATCATCTACACCCACATTATCCACATCATCCATATCCACATCCATATCCATATCCACATCCATATCCATATCCACATCCATATCCATATCCACATCCATATCCATATCCACATCCATATCCACATCCACATCCACATTATCCACATCACCCACATCCACATCCATATCCACATCCATATCCACATCATCTACACCCACATCATCCATGTCCACATCCACACCCATATCACCCACAGCCACCTTATCCACATCATCTACACCTACACTCACATCGCATCCATATCCACATCCACACCCATATCCACATCATCCACATCCATATCCATATCCCCATCCACATCCACATCCACAGCCCCATCATCCATATCCACATCCCCAGCCACATCATCCATATCCCCATCTACACTCACATCACAGCCACATCATCCACATCCATATCCATATCCCCATCCACATCCACATCCACAGCCCCATCATCCATATCCACATCCCCAGCCACATCATCCATATCCCCATCTACACTCACATCACAGCCACATCATCCACATCCATATCCATATCCCCATCCACATCCACATCCACAGCCCCATCATCCATATCCACATCCCCAGCCACATCATCCATATCCACATCCCCAGCCACATCATCCATATCCACATCCACAGCCACATCATCCATATCCACATCTACACTCACATCACAGCCACATCATCCACATCCACATCCATATCCATATCCCTCCTCACACCACATCATCCACACCCACACCACACCCACATCAGACCACCCACCCCCACACACCCCCACACACGCCCACCCCTGCCCCTCTCACCCAGCTGCTCCCAGCTCCCTTGCCCAGAGCATCACTGAGCTCCCAAAGGCTCCACCAGCTCTCAGACTTGATCCAAACCCACTGCAGCTGCTTCCTGGCAGCTCATCCCAGTGCACCACCCCTCAGGCAGCCCGAGCTGCGGCCCTGGCCCCAGCACCCCTCCCTGCTTCCAGCCTGCAGGCAGAGCTGAGCAGAGCCCACCCCCCTGCAGCTGAACCCCTCCAGCAGCACTGCAGGTACAGCCCCGCTGCAGCCCCACTTAGCCTGAGGATTGCACAGGCCTTGAAGAGGTCTCATGGTGGGGAATAACCAGATTAGGGCACGGTGATTGGCAGCACAGCAGCAGGAGCAAAGGGACCACTGAGAAATTTCTAACTCCTTACCTGCTCAGAGCCCTGTGCAGGAAAGTGTGCTGAATCCAGAGAGAATGTCAGTGATTACTGCTGGCTCCAAGCAAACCCTCTCTAAATCCAGGGCAGAAAACTGCCTCACCTGAACCTGGCAGCAGGGTGGTGCCTCTCCTCTGGCCCCTGCGGTGAATTGCTGATATTTTCTGTGCCACAGACGGGTTTCCTGCCTGTTCTCACCCTCTGTGCGAGCGTTCCACGTTTCAGGAATAGCCTGCTTGGAAAAGGTGCCAGAAAGTTCCCTGCTCCTCACTGTGACAGCACCAGGAAGCATCACAAGGCTCAGTTCTGTTCTGTTTGCCTGGGTTCATTTCACAGATTGTCAGGGGAGCTGCAAGAGCTGAGCTGCTGCAGGAAAGAGCTCCCGGCCAGAGGGACAGAGGGACAGCCCCAAAATCCCCCCGTGACAGCCCTAAAGCTGCACAGCCCGCCCCAAAACGTCCTGGGGGGCTTTGGGCAGGGGCAGGTGCTGGGGTGTGTGAGGAAGAGCGAGAGGAAGAGCAGGGGGCTGTGGAGGGGTGGCTGTGCCAGGGGCCTGTGCCCGTGACAGCCATGAATCATTCCCTGCGCTGGCAGCAGGGATGGCAAAGCTGATTTAAAATCTGGGGGAAACGGCCAAAAAGCAGCAAAGTGTAAATGAACAGAAGGTGCCCGGGGTGTGAGCTGTGCCAGGGCCCCACAGGCTGTGCAGGGATGGAGCTGAGCCAGGCTGGGCTGCACACCCTGCCCTGGGTGCCCACCCCTCTGATCCCACCCAGTCCTGACCCTCCCAGGGGCTCGGACCCCAAATTCTCCAGCTGTGGCATGGGGCAGCCCCAGACCCCTCTGTTGCTCAGGCCTGTGTGGTTTTCAAACTGCATTTCACAGAACTGTTCAGGCTGGAAAAGGCTCTGAGCCCATCAGGCCCAACCACCCCAGCCCTGCCACAGCCACCACTGCCCCCTGTCCCCAGGTGCCACCTCCACAGGGCTGTGAAACCCCCCAGGGATGGGCACCCCAGCCCTTTCCATGGGGAATTTTCCCAATGCTCCCCCTAAACCTCCCCTGGCACGCTTTGAGGCTGTTTCTCTTGTCCTGTCACTATTTCCCTGTTACCTGGCAGAGACCCCAGCCCCACCTGGCTGCACCCCCTGCCACTGCTCCTTCCTCACCCCACATCCAGAGGCACCAGCTGGGATGCCAAGGTGTCAGAGCAGAAGGACCAGCCCCTTCCCCTCTCCCCACAGGCACCAAAGCTCATGTGCAGCTTTTCAGGGCAAGAACAGCATGGGGATAATGAGGTTTTAAGTAGGCACCGTGGTTTATTACAAATTTCTCTTTACTCATAAAATGTCCCACTAGTAATATTCCTGTCTGAAGGAGAGAATGAAATATCAAATTAAGATCCAAATACTTCAGTACAGCCTAACCACTTTGACAAAGGGATCTGATATAATTCATTCCTCTTTTAATAAAATGAAGTGAGTCTTTTAATAACACTGGATCATTCCATCAGACAGGCTGGATATCCTGAGGTGTTGTGACAGGCTTTGATGTCTGTCAGCACTAGAACTTCACTTGTAATACATGAAGTTTGGGGATTGATTTGAAGCTGGGGGGTGAGAGGGGAGGAGGCAGGGATGGGAAACACCTCTGGGTGGGCTGCGCAGGGCCTCCCCCTCGGGCACAGGAGCACCACAAAAGGTGAACAGAAATGCCATTAATTCACAGTGATGTCCCACGGCCCTTGTGGCATCACGGTGGGAGCCCAGCAGGGTCAGAGGATGAGGCAGGGATGAGCTCACCAGCAGTGATAAAGTCCAGAAAGAATCAAAACCTGCTCCTTCCCCGTGGCTGGGGAAACGAGCACGTCGCGTGTGAGCAGCTGGGGGGGCTCTGAGCCTTCTGACCTGCCCCGTGCCTGTGCCTGCCTCCACAATGCTCTGAGCCCCCAGGAGCTGGAGGTCTCTGCAGAGATGGCAGCTGGCACCCTGCAGGCAGGCGAGCTGCTGTGCTCCCCCTCCACAGGTACAAACACCTTGAACGAGGGAAACCCTCTCAGTTACTCCACAGCAGCTTCGTGTGGAGAGAAGGAATTGTGGTTTAGGACCTGTCAGCTCCTCAGCTGACTCCTTTCCTCCCTGCTCTGTGAAGAAGCCCCCGGGCTGGGAGCTGAACCCCTTGCAGCAGCCCCGGAGGGAGGAGCAGAGGCTGGGGAATCCTGTGTGACACCATTTACTCCACAGAAAGCAGCAGTAATTACCCAGAGGACACAGCCACCTCGTTACTCACCCGACTCTCTCTCTATTTGCCATTGCACGGTTCCCCTGCTTCATTTTGTCATGTACAATAATTGCAGAGGAGTGGGAAATGGCCCTTCCATCCCCCTGGCACTCTCAGCCCCTGCTGATGCCTCTCACGAGGCTGCTCAAGGAGAATGAGGATTCAGGCCCAGGCTGCAAATTCACCTGTGGGCAGAGGGGCCACCTGAGACCAGCTGTGACTGCAGCTTTTTATTATACTCCATACTTTTTTAATAGTTCATCATGCATGAGATAAAAAATTATTGTTATTTTCATGTGCAGCCCAAAGAGCAAGGGGAGAAGGGCTGTTGGCCTCTGCAGCAGCTGTTCCCAGGGAGGAATAAAACCCTGATTTGCCTCCTGGGAACACTTCCAAGAGCAACAGCAGCTCAGAGAAAGCACTGAGCTGAGCCCAGGAGGGTGAGCACGCCGACCACAGCTGGGACAGAGGTTTTATTTTACTGCTCTCATTTTCCAAGGCATGGAAGGATCACACCTGAAGGGACACCGTGCTAAGAACAGTGCCACAGCCCTTTTTTCCTGGGGTTTCATTGGTTCTTCCCCTTCGCTGGGTTTCACAGGAGTTTTTCACTGCTCCCCTCTCTGCTGAGCCTCATCCTTCCCACCAGGTGCATTTGGTCACTGATGAGCCCTGCCCAGGCTGGATCATTCCACTCCATCCCTCCAGGGAGGACAAAGCCCCTCCTGGACAGCAAGGCAGGGACTGTTCTGCAGAGGCAGGAACAGGAAAACCCAAGTGTGTGGCTGTAGGGCAGGGACAGGCAGAGCAGTCAGCACTCCTGGCTCGATGGGAAGCTCACCCTGCAGCCCTGAGCCTTCACCTGCCCTGCCCAGCTCCCTCCTCTGACAGGGGCAGTGGCTCACAGCCTGTCCTGAGTAATCAGTATTACTCAGAATGAGCATTCAGTAATCCTGACCCGAGTAAGGATGTCTGCCTCACAGGTCACTGGAAATCCCCAAGCACACTCAGTGCTCCCAGCGGCACCAGGAGGCTCAGGTGGGATGGTGGGAGAGTTTCCTCCCCACTCCCAGCGGCACCAGGAGGCTCAGGTGGGATGGTGGGAGAGTTTCCTCCCCACAGGGTGGTCAGGCCTGCAGGGGAGGTGCTGAGTGCCCACCCTGGAGCTGCTCAGGAAATGGGCAGGTGCTCTCACACCTGGCAGGAAACATTTCCCCCCTCACAGCTCCAATCCTGGGCAGTGGATTTTGGAGAATTCCAGCCTCTCCTGCCCCTCCTGGGGGCTCTCCCCGGCACCCTGCACTCCCTTGCCCCCATTAGCACATGCAGGCACTTTCCTGGGGCTGCCTGCAGTATCCTGCTCTTCTGCACGGCTGCCTGCCTTATTGAGGAAGTGTGAGAGGAGAATTACTCTCCTAGCACTCCACAGAGCCTGCAGGGTTAAGCCCTCCCCTGGGTAAATGCTCTTATGAGATGCAGAGTAAATACTGCGAGGATTAGACACAAAATGCCTCTCAGCTTTGAAAACCAACAGGAGCCCAGATCAGCCATAACCACGCTGGGCTGCTGAGTCCTCAGGTTTAACCAAGCACTCTCCCACAGGAAATGATTTCTAGGAATGAGGCTTTGTCCAAATGTTCCTTGCTTATGAGAGGAATGAGCTTTTCATCTGAATAAGCAGCCTTGGTGCTGCTCAGTGAGATCACCTCGTGCACTGGGAGTGC